ATATAAAAGGGAGCCATAAAAAAAAAGGCAAAAAAAAAAGGGAATCAAAAACCCATGAGCTTATCATCCTCCTCACTCGGCGACAAGTACGCTCTGTACCTGGACTCGCTGGCCGCGCACATTCGTCCCCGTTGGCAATCTGTTCTGAATCAGGTGCTGACTTCGTCTTCGTCGTCTCTTTCTACACTTGATTCCTACTTATTATTTCTATCCGAATCATCATCCCTTACCATCCCTATCATCGTTACCATCCTCCTCGCATCCATCCTCCTCATCATCATAATAATCATAACCATGTCCTGGCACTCCCCCCTCACCAACTTCCTCCGCCGCACCCCCAACACCAACAACACACCCTACACAACAGTCCCCCACAACCCGCCCTACATAAGCCCCGACGACTACAGCTACATCTCCCCCGACGAAGCCGGCACGCGCTACGAACGCACCCGCTACGCCGCCGACTCCGCCTCCGACGATGACGGAGACAACCAACCCGACACCCTCCTCCTCAAACACCGCAAAAACACCTACGAGCTGCACTTCCCGGCCTACGCCATCAGCGACGGCACGCTGACGGTCGGGCAGCTGCGCAAGCGCGCCGCCGAGGTCACCCGCACGCGCGACCCCAACCGCATCGTGCTGCTCTACAAGGGCGAGATTCTGCATAAGGATGCCGTGCCTTGTTGTGCGGAGGGCTTGAAGCAGGATTCGGAAGTGTTGTGTGTTGTTTCGGAGGTGGAGATGGGGGAGGGCACGCCCAGTGGGTCGGATGTTGATGTTGCTGTCGGGGGGTCGAAAACTGCTGGCGGGGTTGCAAATGACGGTGCAGAGCAGCAGCAACAGCAGCAGCAGCAGCAGACACGCACCCGCAACCGCAACCGAAACAAGAACAAGAAGAAGCTCGCGAAGAAGGACAAGGAGAAGGGCAAGAAAGATACCACCACCGTCCCAACGGAACCCGCCCGACCTGCCCCGACCACCACCACCGGGAGCAGCACAATGCCTCCCCCGTCCCCCAACCTCAAAAACTACCCCACAGCCCGGGACCAAGTCGAAGCGCTGCGCGACTACCTCCGGCGGGAACTCGTCCCGCCCTGCGAGGCATACGCGCGCTCTCCCCCAACCGAGGAAAAAGCGCGGGTGTTCGAGAACCGCAAGCTGAGCGAGACGATCCTGGCGCAGGTGATTCTCAAGGCGGATGGGATTGAGCCGTCGGGGGATGCGGAGACGAGGACTGCGCGGAAGGCGTTGATTAATGAGGCGCAGGCGGCGCTGGGGTTGTTGGATCGAGTGGGGTGATTTTTTTTGTATTATATACATATATATATTTTTTTTGTTTTTTAAACATGTTATACATATTTGTTTGGGGACTTGTGGTTGGAGGGAGTATGGATTGATAGGATGGTTGATACCGTACTCGCCCTAGTATCTACCTAGCTCATGGTAGATAGTATACTATCAATCAGGAGAGTAGCTAATCACAATCAATCTCATCTACTCCGTACTAAATACTAAGGTACCAAATCAAAGTACCAGTGTAGATCAAAAGACGTATCATTTAAGACACCAGAAACAGCACCGACAGCCATCCCTCTACACTAGTCTCTGTTCGACCTAGTACCGACTAGTAAGGGACTTTACTGGAGAATAGTAGGATTATACCCAGGAGGTCCAGTCCCTTGTACCCCCTCCTCAAGTCCTTCATACGGATTAATCTGGTTGAATTAGGTGAGATGTCAGCTATAATCTCGTCTTTATAGAAGGTTGAATATGACAGTCCACATGGGAAAGTCAATTTCTATCAGGCAACACATGGGATATTCTGCCTTCTCGGTATGGTAAAAAGGAGTCTTCTCCTGACTAGTATAATAAATAGTGAGTATTTTGGGACCAGCCAAGCCTTCTTCACTAGTCCAGACTCTCTCTCTCTCTCTCTCTCTACTCAGTACTCACTACTGTCAATCCTTTCTTTCCTTCTTTCTTCTTTCTTCTTTTTCTCTTTCTTCTCCTTGTCTTTCCGTACTCGAGGATATCTCTTCATCTGGCCTTGTTGTCGAGTCACAATCACTATCTTAATTATAATATAATAATAATCTTATTGGATTCACAACCGCCACAGTCCAGCCACACCTTTTTTACGCTCGTTTGAAACTCAACTCCTCCTTTCCTTTCTTCTTCCCCTCTTCCTTCTCCTCACTTCTTTCTCTCTTCTTCTCCTCGCAGCTCAGCTCAGCTCTCTCCATCGGTTGGATCAATCACTAGTCTCTCGTTATCAATTTTCCTCTCTATATTTATTTATTATCTTTGACTCCTTCCTCTTACTTTTACTCGATTCTTTGATTGACGATTCCTTTTCTTCCTATCTATTTCTATTTACTATTTTTTATAACTTTATTGAACATCACCTACCTCTCCTTGACTGCACGTCTCCATTCGCCAATATCCACCAATCACCCATTCATTCTGGCATGGCCTGAAGGGCGTCCTGTCTGCTCGGTCCATATCTTCCCCCGTCAGCTGGTCTGGCTCTGCCGGTATGGCCGGCACCACCACCACCACCGTTACCGATACTTGGTCTCCCCCTGTCAATGAAAATCAATGGGACTACGCCGTTCCTGTTCGGCGGAATGTACGCACCATTCCCCCCGATTCTCGTCCCCACCCCCCATTCCTATCCCCCCCACTAATCCTCGTAGAGCGCCCGCCGCCGCTCCAAGTCCCGTTCCTCCCAATCTCGCGACCGCGACCGCACCTCCAAATGCTCCCGCAGCTCCTCCCTCTCCCGCGCCGCCTACCACGAACAGTATCGCGGCCGTCGCGATGCCAGCCGCACTCGACACGGCAGCGAGGCCGGCCTGTACGCCCACGACGCCCCCAATCGCAGCCGCAGCAACGTCCGCGACTCCGACACCAGCCAGATCAGCGGCTCCTGGCGACGCAGTGACATGAAGGATGGCCCTGACACCGAGCACGAGAACTGGATCCACCGCGACAAGTTGGCCCGTATTGAGAGCATGGAACTGCACCAGGCTGCTGTGATGTTCCAGCGACGCGCCCACGAGTCCGGCCGGTCCACCCGCGCCCGCAATCGCAACAGCGGCATCAGCGAGTATTCGGTGGCTGGCCCGCCCCCTGACCCGACCGAGTCGTTTCCCGATCTGCAGGAGGAGCGGGCGTCGGCCTTGGGGATGTATGACGATAACACCCGTGACGGGGACTGGGACCTGCGTCGACAGGAGGAGGTCACGGAGTCGGCCGCTCACATGTACCGCCATCCGGGCCAGCACAAGAGCGCGTCTCGCATTCCGATCCCGGCTGGCGAGTCGAGCCCCCCTGACGACGGCAGTCCATTGAGCGGTGGCCACAGCCGACCGGGCAGCCGCGGAGTACCCAGCGGATCGAGTGCCACTGCGCGGAAAACCTCGGGTAAAAACACGCCGGGGACGACCGCCCGCAAGACCTCCGCGCCAGCCGGCACCCGCAAGACCACCCCGCGCAGCCGTGCAGTCTCGGGGGCACGACCGACGACGCGGTCGGGCGAGTCCCGTCCCACCACAGCAGCCAACCGACCCGAAGGGGATCCCCCCTGGCTGGCAACCATGTACAAACCAGATCCCCGTCTACCGCCCGATCAACAGATGCTACCGACGCACGCGCGCCGACTCCAACAAGAGCAGTGGGCCAAGGAGGGCAAGACGCCGACGACGTACGACCGCGAGTTTGCCCCGCTAGCCATTGGACCAGACGGGCCACCTGACAAAACGCCCGACGCGGAGAAACCGGAGAAGCCAGAAGAACCCGCGGACACGAGGCCTGAGGAGAAAGCAGAAACAGAAAAGGAGTCCAGACCCAAAGAGCACCCACCCCCTCCCCCACCATCCATCACCTCGCCCGACCCCCAGCGCAGCCCCGACCTGGGACGCGTCAGCACGGCAACGGGATACAGCCACATGCCCAAGGTGCACGAGGTGCCGCACTCGGGGGTGACGAGCAGATGGAGTCCCCCGGTGGTGACTGCGCCCGAACCGGAGAAGAAGAGGGGGTGTTGCTGTATAGTGATGTAATTTCTCTCTTATCATTTTAACTCTTTACCTTTTACATCTCTGCCTGCCTCTTGCTTCTTGCTTCTTGCCTCTCCTTTTCCTTTCTTTTCCTTTCCTTTCCCTTCTTTACTTTTCACTTCTTTTACATTTTTATTATTTTTTTTTTCTTCATTTATTTCATCCAGTCTACTGTTCTTTGTTAGTTGCATGGTTAGCGGTGGTGTTGCCATAGGAATATGGTTCTTCTTTTTCTTCTTGATTTGATTTGATTTGTTGAGATTGTCGATATAGATCAATATATTCATTTACCGAGTACAGAGTACGGAGTACGGAGTATACAGCGTAACGATAGCAGAGACCAGAGGCAGTATAGAGAGCAGGGTAGAGACACAGACATAGACAGGTAAGTATACAACGTCCCTCCAACCAACCAAGCCCACCACGTGACACACACACAAGCACCTCAGGTATCAGGTATCTAAGAAAGAATGATCACGTCATCCTCCACCCACCCGCATTAGTCATCTTCTCCATCCCGACCTCTCCCCTCAAAGTAAGTTAAACCATGTCAAACCTTACCAAGCAAACCACCGACGAAGTACGAACCAGATCTACCCCACCCCGCCACAACATATAACCCCCCCCTTCCTCTCCTCACCTACCTAGGTCCTCTCTTCCTTTACTTTATTTCAAGGAGTAATTAAGGAACACCGCCAAAATCCTCACCTCAATCTTTACCCGCCTGTTCGGCACGTCGTCGACTTCTCCTGCCATCATGTCCGCTGCGAAGGTTAAGGCTGAGGGGTTGATTCAGGAGAATGCTGTCGGTATGTACCTTGCTTGGCTGGGATGGCTTTATTTTTTACTTGGCTTGGATATGGGTTTATTCCCTGCTTGTTTGGTTATGGGTTTATTATATGGAGGGGAAGATGTCAAGGGGAGGGGTGAAAAGAGGAAGAAGAAGAAGAAGAAGAAGAGGAGGGGAAATGAACAAACGCTAAAGAATGCAATGAACAAATGCTAATGGTAACTACAGTGGTCTTCTCCAAATCCTACTGCCCCTACTGCAAGGCTTCCAAGTCTCTGCTGAATGAGCTGAACGCGAAGTATACGACCGTTGAGCTGGACCAGATTGGTTCGTCTTTCCCGTCCTGGAATACATACACTTGTGTGAATGAATCAAAGATAAGAACGCTAATACTCTATCTCATGAAGACGACGGCGCCGCCATCCAAGACGCCCTCCAGGAAATCAGCGCCCAGCGCACCGTCCCCAACATCTTCATCCAGCAGAAGCATATCGGCGGGAACTCCGATCTGCAGGCGAAGAAGGCGGACCTGCCTGCTTTGTTGAAGGCGGCTGGGGCTGCTTAAATTATACTTGGCCTCTGATTGATTTTACCATGCTTGGCTTGGGGTTAGATTTATACTATGCTTGGCCTAGATTTAACTGGTTATACGAGTTGAGAGCATGGCTTTGCTGAGATAGAATCAATATTGTTACAAGATTGGACGGACCGTAAACTGAGTAAAAGAGAGTAGAGTTAAATGGTCCCAACAGGCCGCTCCACCACCCCCATCACCCCATCAACAACACTCCGACGCGCCCCATCACTGGACACATTCTTCCCAGCCAGATAATTCAACCACACCAGCCGACTAATGCGCTCATCGCTCACACGGCCCAAAAACCGCATCCCAGACTTCCCCACCTCAGCCTGCACCAGCCCCTCCAGCGCACCATCCGCGTCACGCACCAGCACCAGCGTCTGCCCCTTGGACACGCTCTTCTTCCCGCCGCCGCCCCCGCCCCCAAACAGCGCCTTGAACTCCCCAACCGCCGTCCCAAACGACTCATCCTTGAACTCCCCCTCTTTCTTCCCCCCGCCAGAAGAGTCAGACGTATCAGGAAGAGGCGAAAGAGTATACTTCTGCGCACGCGCAGCCAACCCCCTCACCCACCCATCCCGCAGGTGCAAAAAGTCCGTATTCCGCGTCGGCACAACCCTCCACGCCATCCGCAGCCCGCCCTCCCTCAGCACCGCGCTCCAAGCCGCATCCCCGCGCTCCTCGTCCAGCAACAGCTTCTTCAGCGCCTCCCGCTCCCCAGGCACAAGGCTCGTCGCGAACGCGACACTCCCCGCCCCCGTCGTCGGCTGCACGACGGCCGGCGAGTCCACCTCCTTCGGCGGGTTGACGGCCGTGCGCACAAGCCGCTGCTGCAGCTCGGGGAGGTCCTTCGTGGCGATGTACAGGCCCACGACGTAGACCTGGATGCGCAGGAAGGAGACGGTGCGGATGCCGAGGCCCAGCAGCTGGTATTCTTCGCTTGCGCCGTCGTCGCCCGATGCGGGGAGCGCGTCGCCTGGCTGGAGGGTGCTGGAGCGCGTCGGGAGACGCATCGTGCTGGGGAAGTGCGGCACGGAGCTCGTGCCGGTTTCCACTTGCGTGCTGCCGTCGGGGCCCTGCAGGATCATGGCGGGGCTGCTGGCGCTGGTGTCTGGGAAGCCTGGGGGGCCGTCGAGCATGGTTTTATTCTTGCTGTCGCTGTCGCTGTTGGTGGTGGTGGTTGTGGTGTTGGGGTCGAGCGTCTCCAGCCCGAATGGGTCCAGTTGGATCACGCCGTACATGGCGACTGCGCAGGCGGCGATGCCTGCGGCGGAGAGGCTGATGGAGCGGCGGGACTGCGCGAGGGCTTGCTCGCGGGCGCGGGTGTCGGCGCTGGAGCGGAGTGGGTTTGGGGGGTGGGTTTGGCGGAGGGGCGTGCTGGTTGTTAGGGGGCGGCGGGTGGGGAGGCGGAGCTGCGGGCGAATGCACCTGCGCCAGGGGATGGCGCCCTGGATTGATGATGGTGAAGCCATGTTGAGCGGGTGATGATTGGAGAGATGGGATGTCGATGGATGTTGGATGTTGGGTCGGGTCTGCGGGTGGGTTTACTATGGGGGGTTCCGGATCCGGGTGCACGTGACTATGGTGCCATGACTCTCCATCTGAGTAAAGAGTACAATATAGGACGGTTAAGAATATGGGATTGAGTAGACTGGAGTTGAATCATCATTGGCGGTATTTGTTTGGATGACTGTTATATTGGTTGAATATGTCTAGTACTTAGTATAGTTGGGTAGAATATTGTTGTAACTGCTAAGCTGCTACTCGACATATACGGCCGTCAAGATATATAGTCACCAACACCATCAATATCTGTCCCACAACAATCAAGACCGGGTTATAACTATCATACATTCTAAGCATTATTAAACACTCACTGAAGCATGAGTATCTACAGTAGTATACACCACTTGAACATCCGTCACGGTGTTATCTTACTGAAGATTATGCGTCTTTCAGGAATAGCCAGTTGGATAGGATTCGATGACTGAACTCCTACATCTACTACTGTACAGTGGAATCCAAGGAATATAGTGCATGGATACTACCGATACATGAGACAAGAGTACTTGGATGAATGTGATTGTATGGTAAAGGAGTTGGGTTGCCCATATCTTAGCTATGAAAGATGTGTTAAGTGGTGAGATGCACCGCCAAAGGCTGGCAGCACCCATCAAAGGCTCTATGACTACAAATACGACTACGTGTGGATATAGTTTGAATCATTATGTAGATTTACTACATAGTCTAGTACCATTCATAAGCCTTTTCAGAAATTCATCACGGCATCTCGGTTTTCCCACGAAATGAACCCATTTATTTCTTGCCGGCCTTCTGGGCGGCCTTGGTGACCTTGCCGGAGGAGGCGGAGGCCTTCTCGACAGCCTTGACGACACCGACGGCAACGGTCTGGCGCATGTCACGGACGGCGAAACGACCCAGAGGGGGGTAGGAGGTGAAAGCCTCAACACACATGGGCTTGGAGGGAATCATCTTGACGATGGCGGCATCACCGGACTTGATGAACTTGGGGTTCTCCTCGGTGGCCTTACCGGTACGGCGGTCGATCTTCTGCTGCAGCTCGGCGAACTTGCAGGCAATGTGGGCAGTGTGGCAATCCAGCACGGGGGCGTAGCCGGCGCCGACCTGACCGGGGTGGTTCAGGACGATGACCTGGGCGGTGAAGTTGTCACAGCCGCTGGGGGGGTCGTTCTTGGAGTCACCGGCAACGTTGCCACGGCGGACCTCCTTGACGGAGACGTTCTTGACGTTGAAGCCGACGTTGTCACCGGGCAGACCCTCCTTGAGCTGCTGGTGGTGCATCTCAACGGACTTGACCTCAGTGGTCACGTTGGCGGGGGCGAAGGTGACGACCATACCGGGGCTGATAACACCAGTCTCGACACGGCCGACGGGAACTGTGCCGATACCGGAGATCTTGTACACATCCTGCAGGGGCAGACGGAGGGGCTTGTTGGCGGGACGGACGGGGGCCTCGATGGCATCGATGGCCTCCAGCAGGGTCTTACCGGTGACCTTGCCGGACTTGCCCTCCTTCTCCCATCCCTTGTACCAGGGGCAGTTGGGAGAGGGCTCGAGCATGTTGTCGCCGTTGAAGCCGGAGATGGGGACGAAGGGAACGGCCTTGGGGTTGTAGCCGACCTTCTTGATGAAGTTGGTGGTCTCCTTGACGATCTCGTTGTAACGGTCCTCGGACCACTTGCAGGTGTCCATCTTGTTGAGGGCAACGATGAGCTGCTTCACACCGAGGGTGAAGGCAAGCAGAGCGTGCTCACGGGTCTGGCCATCCTTGGAGATACCAGCCTCGAACTCACCAGTACCGGAGCCAATGATGAGAATGGCGCAATCGGCCTGGGAGGTACCAGTGATCATGTTCTTGATGAAGTCACGATGACCGGGGGCATCGATGACGGTGACCTCATACTTGGCGGTACCGAACTTCCAGAGGGCGATATCGATGGTGATACCACGCTCACGCTCGGACTTCAGCTTGTCCAGCACCCAGGCGTACTTGAAGGAACCCTTGCCAAGCTCGGCGGCTTCCTATATCTTTATTAGTATGATATCTTGGATGTGTGACCTGAGAGTGATCCTACCTTCTCGAACTTCTCGATGGTACGCTGGTCGATACCACCGCACTTGTAGATCAAGTGACCTAACAATTGTAAGTATCCAAAGCCTGAAGTATATGATATGGGTGGTGAGGTGCTTACCAGTGGTGGTCGACTTGCCGGAATCGACGTGGCCGATAACGACGATGTTAAGATGAGTCTTGTCCTCCTTACTGTTGAGAGATTGTTAGCCAGTGTTCTTGATGATAATCATCACATCTCGATCAAGACGATGATGATATGATGATGATGATGACGATGAAAAAATCTTCATCCAGGAAAAAACGTACCCCATTGTGACGGTAGATGTGATGAACTTTTATTAAAAGAAATAAAGGTCTCGGAAGATGCTCAGATACTACGGCTTAACGCGTAGAGGTGCTGAACAAAAAGGTAAGTTAGAGAGAGGATGAAGAAGGAAAGGAGGGAAGAGTAGGAGGGAGGGGAAGATATACGTACTGATGCGGACAAGGGAGGGAAAGAAAAAAAAAATTTGTGGGAGGGGGAGGAGGGGAAATCCTTATATGGAGGGGCAAGCGAGCAGGCGAATTACGCCGGCGGGCTCAAACCCTTGGCGAGTCATCCGTATTATTGGATATGGAGGGGGTTGTTGCCCCACCAGACAACTGCGGGACCAGCGCAAAAATCTTCACGGCGGAGTCCAATCCAGAACTTGACTTTGCCCGCTCTTGGGCTGGCTTTGGGTTGACCTTGGTTTTTTCTTCTCTTCTTGAGTTTTATTTTTTATTTTTTTCATTTTTCATTTTGATTTTCCCGTCTTCTGCCCCACTTCCATTATATTACCTAGTCTATGAGAGAAAAAAAAAAACTACAACTTAGTAAGTTTGGAATAGGCAGAACTGGGCATCAACGCAGAGTGGGCTGTGACTGTTTTGTGAGTCAAAACTGGCATTATCTCTCTATCACTGCATCTGTTGGTATTGTTTGCATTAATACCCCGCGGCAGACTCTCCCTCTGATTGGTTCATTAGCGGGCGGTACCCAATGTACTTTTTATCTTTGATCTTTTTTTTTTTTTTTTCCGGTGGCACGGTGGACAGTGGACAGTGGACACTAACAGTCCAACAATGTATGGCAATGCAAACCGTCAATCAGACTCAGCCCCTTGATGTCAGCCGGCATCAATTTTTGATTTTTGATTTTTTTTTTTTTTAGTTTCTTTGTTGACTACGATGGACCATGCATGTGCCCCTCTTTCTTGAATCATCGGTTCGGACTCCCTTTTAGTCGTGTGCTCTTCCTAATCTGTTCCCCGATGCTTTTTTGAGGTTTTTTTTTTTAAGAGGAAAAAAAAAA